CTGTGACACTTCTGATTTATTGGCAGATTTATCAGGATGTATTTCTAAATAACACTCACTGTCTGATCCTGGGTCACATGACAAACACAAGGCAGAGCAGGGAACTTCTGAGTGGCTCTGAAAGTGAGAGGAGGTTTGGGGGGGTCAGAACTTGAAAAAGGGGGGCGCTGTTGAGTAAACTGTGGAGTAGGATGCTTGTGGTTTAGTTCTGCAGAGCAAGTGGGTTCATAAATACAGCAAAGGCTCTTTTCTAAATCAGATAGATTCCAAAAATTGACATGGAGGCCCTTAAAATTGCTGAAGCTCCAATAACACGGAACAAATTATTAAAACTAAGAAGTGACAAAGCATCTGGACCCGACGGGTTCCCCATTGAGTTTTTTTCTAACTTTTGGACACAATATTATCATTTAATCACAACAACTTATACGACAATTTATGTTTCAGTAAAATTTGTTTTTGTGACAGGCCTACTCACATTCACCAAAAACATCTCGACAATCTTTAACACTTTTGGGAAAATATTCTGTAGACTGAAGAGAAAAAGAGAAACGTTTTGGGAGGTGTGTGTCCTGATAGAGTTGTTGTAAAGCTAACACACCATTTCAGAGCTAATCCATCAGAATCAGCTTCATTCACCAAGTCTGATGCACACAAACAAGAAATGTGACTTTGGCTCTGGTTTGCTCTCAATAACAGACATTTAAAATATAAATAAACAAAAAAGAGAAAATGAAACAAAAATTTCCTTTCTTGCAAATATGAATATAAACAGTATTTTTACAAAAGAGGAAGACAGGGTACATGTGCATGGCATTGAGGATACCTGTACACAGTGTGTGTGGGAGAACCATCTCAGGTCCTGAGAACAAGAGCAGGCGTGATCTACTGTAGACCTAATGTTACTGACTGTGTGAGGGCAGGCAGTGTGTGTGTGTGTGTGTGTGTGTGTGCCCACTGTCTTGAGCAGGTCTTGAGCTGGACTGTCCAGACAGCTGTGTCCACAACCTGGTTCTGGCTCAGCAGTGGACCAGCTGAGCCTGTCTGCATGCAGACTCATTGCTGTCACTGGGATCACCTGTGAACTTCAAACAGTCCACTGAGCTACAGAGAGAACACACCTCTAGGAGGCGCCAGTGCTGATGATTCTTGTTTATTCCTGGGTCGTTAGGTGGAGCAGGAGGGGTGGAGGTGTTCTGCTTTCTATGTTCATTTTGAAGCTATTTTTGGCTCTGACTCCACTGTGCTGCTGCAGTGGAAGAATGACAACAGCCTTCTGTATTTTGTCACATTACGACAAACATAAATATATTTCATTTGAATTTAATGTGAAAGACCAACACAATGTGTGATGCAATTATGAAGTAGAAAGAAAATTATACAGGATCCAAAACATTTTTTACAAATAAAAACCTGAAAAGTGCAGAATGCTAAAGTATTCAGCCCCCTTGAGTTTGTACTTTGTGGAACCACCTATTGCTGCAATTCCAGCTGCTAGTCTGTAGGGTTTGTCTCTATCAGCTTTAACATCTACTGACTGAAATCTTTTCCTGTTCTTCTTTGCCAAACTCCACCCGGTCAGATTAGATGGAGAGGGTTAGTCAACAGCAGTTTTCAGATTTTGCCAAAGATTCTTGATTGGGTGCATGTCTGGACTTTGACTGGGTCATTCTAACACATGTATTCGGTGGAGCGTGATGCTACCACCACCATATTTGTCAATGGTGTTAGTGTGTTCAGAATGATGTGAAGTGTTAGTTCTCCATGTTTTGCATTTTGACCAGAAAGTTTCATTTTGTTCTGGTCTGACCAAAGCTCCTTCTTTCACATGTTTGCTGTGTCCAACATGGCTTCTGGAAAACTGCAAACAGGATTTTTATGGTTTTCTTTTAACAATGACATTCTTCTTACCATTCTTCCATGAAACCACATTAGTGCAGTGATGACTAATAGTTTTCCTGTGGACAAATTCCAGAAGATACCAAAGTGCTTCACACTACAGTCATTCATCGTATACACATTCACACACTGATGGTGGTAAGCTACATAGCTGCACTGGGACACATTGACAGATCCATGCCATTCAACGGGCCCCTCCAGTCCCTCTGACCACAACCAGCAGACCGAGTGTTATTTCACCAAGACAAGACACTTCACCAAGTGCGACACAATGACTAAATGTAAAGTTTAAGCAAACAGTTATATCATGTATTTATCATTACTGGCCAGTATAGTGTTCACACCAGTCACATTACCTATCCCATTACACATCACAGCAACTACAAGTTGGTGTGGTTGTTGGAGAATCTGATGCATCAAGGAAACAGATAGACCTTTTCTAATCAGAAGCCATGTTACCACTGCTGTTACCGAGTGCAACTTTTCTGCATCGAGTTCGCAAAGCATTTTGCTGACTTTGCTGGTAAAGAACTTATTGGGTTTACTTCAATGAAACTTTACACGTATTTTCCTCTTTTATGAGCCCAGCAGTCATTAAATCTTTAAAAGACAATAAAATTATATAAAAGGTACAAACTGTACCTTTTATGTCATTAGGCCCGAGCAGCTAAGAGCTGCGAAGGCCTATTGTAATTAGTTATTGTTCTTGTTATTGTTATGTCATTGTTCTGTCGTGCTGATAAGGATTCCTCTTTGACATTTACATTTAAGTGCCACATTCTGCCTTATAAACACTGACGAGCCTCATCAGTGAGGAGAACAACCTGGGAAACACAAACCCTGCCTTCTGTCCCAGCAGTAAAGTTTTAACATTTACCAGACTGCACTAAAAACATGCAATGTGCACAGCACACTCACCGGTCTCTGATTACCTCACTAGTAAATACAGAGAGGTCAAAGGATTTAACAGGTGCATGAGACAATAGAGCAATACTCCTTTGATCAGGAGCCAAGGAGGAAACAAGGACTTTCTCTGTGAGCAGAATCCAGAACAACAGGTTCTTCTACCTGGGAGAAGGAAATGATCATACTGTGTAAAGTTGTAAATATGTCCCCATATGTACCTGCAATGAAGATTCAGGAGGTTTCTTGTTACTCTAAAGTGGAGATGTTATACCTCACCACTTCTCTTCGTCTGCTGTGTATTTCTATTTCTCTTGAAGTCTGTTCCAGCTCTGCTTACAGCAGCAGGCTTATCACAAACAGAGCAGAAACACCTGGACCTCTTTCTGATTGTTCTTAGGATGAGAATAATCAGAAGCCACAAATACGTCTTACTGCCAGAGACTGTAAGACTGGCTGCTGACACTTCTGATTTCTATGCCTGTTTTTCCTTGTAGGGTCACTCTGTGTCTGTCTGCAGTGGTCTTGGAGTGACTGGATGGGTCACCAGTCTATTGTTAGGCAACACAGAGACACAGGATGCTGGACGACACACAGGATAAGCAATTCTTCACACACAAACACACACACATAGGCACGCACATGCACACATACACACACGCACACACACACACACACACACACACACACACACACACACACACACACACACACACACACACACACACACACACACACACACACACACACCTACATACGTAAGGGCAATTTAGAATAACCAATTGACCTAAAGCTCATTTCTTTGAAATACCCAGACAGAATCCATGCATACATAGAGTGCAACTCCATCCACAAATGTCCCAGACCAGGATTTGAACCAAGGACTCTTCTTGCTTCAAGGCAAGCCTTAATTCAGCGATATAAAACTTTGGAACTTTTCAAGGGTCTCCAGTTCCTCCCAGCATCTCTCTGGACCTGAGCTGGTCACTGACCGACCATCTGACAGAGGCAGCAGGGACGGCTTCCTGCAGCAACTTAAGCTGCGCTGACTTGATTCCAGCTGGAAACAAACATTTGCACAGTGGGTCCTTCAATATTCTAATGTGGATGCATTTATAGATTTATGTTTGAAAATGCATTTAATTTTATCCATGTACATGCAACAAAAATATGGCTGCACCCATTGACTCTTATAAATGCTGCTCTTGTTTTTTTGTCCCCCTAGTCCTAAAGAATAGTTTTGTTGCAGAGTGTATATGTGCCTGAACTTTGATTACATTACAAGTGGGGCCTGAAGTCACATTGTGTGGACCCTCAAATCCAGAGAATGAAGTTGATTCTGGTGATTCTGAGATTGGTGGCACAACCCATCTGTTGCCTTTGAGGTCAGCAGCCTCCGTACCATGAAGTCTCTTCTATGAATCAGTTTGCTGCCTCTGGCTGATACAACTACAAACACTTTATGAATTTAAAATCTTAATTGGATTCACACTATAAAGCATCACTTGTGGAGACCCCCAAAGGGTTGAGTGCTTGGGCCAATTTTCTTCATTATATACTAGAACATCTGAAAGAAATTTGAATATTGCATAAAAGTGCAAATGTTCTTGATCAGCCAGCAAACTCCCCTGACTATCAACACTGCAGAAAATCTAATGGCTGTCAAGAAGATGAAAGATGCCTGACCCAACGAGAGAGATGACCTCGTACGGCAGCTGTCATAGCAACCCACACAGGATGATGACTCCATGCCCCTGTCTGATGAGATTCACATTTTTTTTACTGAATTTTGAGGTTTCTTTACTTGTAAGCCATAATTATTAAAACTGCAAAAAGAGTTTGAAACATTTTACTCTGTGTAATAAATCTTTAAAATGACATTTCACTTAAAATGACTGGTAAGAAAGATTGCACTTTATTCAATATTCTTGAATAAATAAATATTTGCTGAAATGTACTAGTAAACTAAGGTCCAAGTTATCATCTTTTAACTGTTCATTATCAATATTTGGCCATAATTAGATCTTTTGTCTTTCCTTAAAATGGATTTCTGCTCTCAGCCCAGCATGTGGCTCTGCTGCTCTCCACGATGAATTCTCATCAGTTCAGTTAAACAGATTTCCAAAGAATCATATTTATCTAGAAATTAAGTACTGGACCAGTAAATTAAGTGTGGAAAGATTTCCATCAACTCCATGTGGACGGACCTGAATTAGCACACACCGTTTTATTTAAATAAAAATCTCATTCAAAAGCAGACAAGTTGCATAAATACCTTGAGCCAAGACACAAAATGTATATCAACATGCTAAATTATGTATGTATAAAAATCCTACAGATAAACCACTGATATGATTAAGTGTTTATGTAACCCTATAGTGCTTTTTGTTTAGTTCTCAAATTAGGTGAATATACCTATAGATATATTTACACAGTCATAAAAAATACATGAATATACAATATGTTCAAAAAGACAGCAGACAGGGACTGCCCATCAGGAAACCATGTTCAGATTTACAGAACTACTAATGTCCAGAACCTCTAAGGATTTTTCATGTAGCTGCTGAATTTGGTTGGCAAGTTGTCCACAGGATAGACGGTGGGTCCAGTTTTCATGGTAGGGGGTCCGTTTAAGAGGGTCCAGTCACACTTTGTGACCACTTCTACCAAGAAGATCTTCAGTAGAACCTTAGCGAATTCCTTTCCCACACACATTCGAGAACCTCCACCAAATGGTACGTACTGGAACCTGGAGGAGTCTGCAGAGGGTTCGGTCAGGAAGCGCTCAGGCTGAAAGTCGTCTTTGTTGGGGAAAATCTCAGCAACATCATGAGTGTCACAGATGCTGTAGATAACGTTCCAGCCTTTAGGAATCTGGTAGCCCTGAAATGTTATGGGACATTATCAAAATTGTGTTTTTGTTAAACAATTACTTATAGCTTTAACCACTGCTAAAAAGACAACTCTTATGAACTGGAAAATGAGAAGCACCTGACATATTGGAATAATGTACTCACTGAATATATTTCAATGGGAAATAACTTTTGTATAATCAATTTTATATTATCCTGACTTATAAATAACGTTTGTCTTTTCCCATCTTTTAGTTATCTTTTTCTTTCTGGATTATTCTTTCCATCTCATGTAGTTCCTGTATAATATATAACAATCTCCACTTAGTACAAATAACTATTAATTGATCCATCATATGTTTATATTTACCTCTCACAGATAATTTGGTTCATTATTATTGTGATTATTATTACCTGATTGTTGTTTTTTAATTACTCCACACACTGATAGTGTTATGATCTGTGTTTTCTGTGTGGTTATTTTTGAGGTTTTTCTGTGTTTTAGTTTTCCCCTGTGAGTCTGTCTTCCCTCTTGATTGCTCCACAGATATGTCTACTTACCTGATTACCCTCCCTGTGTATTTAAATCCACCTGTTGTCTTTGTCTCTTGTCGGGTCCTTGTCTAATGTTGACTTACGTGCGGCGGTTTCTGTCGAGTTTTCCAGTGGTACTGTGAAGTCCTGGTCAACTAAGCTCCATGTCAGTCTTCGCGACAGTGCTACCGGTACTAGCCGTGTGCTTTAGTTCTCTCCCGGGCTGCCTGTCTTGGACTGTCTTTGTGCATTATTGTCAGCATTAAATCCATCATTTCACTACAACCTGAGTTCAGCCTGCGTTCAACCTCACCACCACCCACACCTTATGACAGTCACTTTTTCCCACTAATGTAATGTACCTTAATGTATCTTTTATTGTGATGTAAAAATATCAAGTTATCTTAATTTCTAAAAACTGGAACTTTCAGGTTGAACACAGGAGAATCAAATGATCACTGAGTCACTTACATTCAGTTCAAATGTTTTGAGAGCCACTCTGAAGCCTCCAGGGACAGGTGGGTTGATCCTCAGCGTTTCTTTGATCACACAACTTGTGTATTTGAGCTTCTCCAAAGATTCAATGTTCAGACTCTGGAGGTCCATCCCACTCTCCCCCTGAACAGACAGACATGAGGGACCAGACAATGAGCAGTTACTCTTTTAGAACAAACATCTTCATAGATTTAGTCAACGTATGACTACACATCTTGTATATCTTAGTCAGCAGCAGCACAGAGTTTCTGTTAAGATTTAGTTTCATACTAGCTAGCTTTACCTTAGGTTATTCTGAGTTTCCCTTCAGCAAATTCAGTTTGTCCTCCTTTCTAGAGGTATGTCTCTCAGGCCGGCAGCAAATTGGAGTAACTCTTTACTCTCACTGAGATTTTTTCTTTTTCAAACTTTTATTCCTGCCTTTCTGGGGAAAAATATTGTCTTTTTTTTGGACAACCATTCTTTCTTGTTTTGAATGCTGTGTAGTTGGACTGATTTTTGGCAAAAAAAATTAGTCTAATACAAACAATTACATGAGATCTTTCCTGCCAGCAGCCATCACTATCTACAATAACTAAAGAATTTTAATTAATGAGTTATGACAGCTTTGCGATGATTAAAAATATTTTTTAATTTTAATTTTAATTTTTGACCCAAAGGTACTTAGTATGCATCCCAATGTGCATGACAACTATCAACCAGGTTTAGGGCTGAGCTGAAGATGGATTTTCAAAAGTCAAACAAGTAAATAAGCCTCTGTGACCTGCTGGTCACTGAGGCTTTAATTACTTTTAATTACATTAAAAGTAATTAAAATTACTTTTAATGTTGACTTCTAATTTCTTATTTTATTTGTTGGAATAACTGAATCACTTTAAAGCAGGATGGAAACCAAAGTGATGTGCAAAGCTCAATAAATCAACATTGATCCCTTCTGCTCAGGTTTCCACAGTTAGCCAATGGATGTGTTAGCATGTATTAGTGAATCATGCTAACGCCTTTGCAAGCATTCCATCTCCGTTTCATCTTCGAATGCTGTAATTGTTCTATAGATTGATTTTAGCATGTGTGAACAATTCAAATGTACGTTGTCCACCATCATATCTAATCTCTCATACTGGTGGTGATGTTGTGGTGAAATATTATCCATAGGATAAAGTTCTAAGTGGAACATTATCCATGTAGATCTAGGATGAATTATTTTTTTATTTGGAGCTCTGCAGATCAGACCAATTAGCTCTCCATCTCTCTGAACTTTATTTTTATAGAACAGCATTGAAAAGTTTAGCTGTGGTTTTGAGTCATGTCAGGAATCCATTTATGTTGATTCACTGTTTGGCTGCTAATTTAAACATTTTCAATGATCTGTGGCCGTCTCTCTGCTCACACATAAACCCTCAGCCAACTGGACTCCACACCTCAGCAGGTGCCACTGATAAATCATTATGTTTTTGAAATAATTTAAGGGTTATGCAAAAATAAATCAATTATCATTTGCTGACAACTGCCTCAGTCAATCAAAAAGCTACTTCAACTGATATTCAGGCCAAAGAAAGCACAACACATTTACTTTGTCCCATAACTCCTGCCTCAGTTTGTTCACAGCTTCTGGGTTCAGGCCCAGAAACATGATGAGGGACGTGGCTGTGCTGGCCGTGGTTTCATGGCCGCCAAACAAAAGCTCTGTAGCAGATTCCTTGATGGCCTGGACACAGAAGGCAGACATGTTGAATTATTCAGAGTCAGGGCAGAAAAAACAAACAAACAAACACACTCTGACAACATCTTTCCAGAGATTTGTCTTTCCTGAACAATGCTTTGATTAATCATCTTCATTACCTGCATACTGAAGGGCTCTCCATTCTTCTCGCTGCTGTCTATGAGCTGCTGCAGGGCATCTGTGTGTTTTGACCCTTTGTTTGACTCCTCCACCTTCATTTTGATGTTCTCTTCAATCTTTGAGTGGATGAAATTTCTGGCCCTCAGACCCTACAGGACAGAAGAGGAGAAGATGGGATATGAGGGGACAAAAATAGACGTGAGGACAGACTTCTGATTAAAACTTCTTTTTGGTTAGCTCCTCCTAGGTGGGATGTTAAATAAAGCACACTGTTCTGAGGTTCATGTTTACATCAATTCACTCACATGAAAGTGTTTCACAGTAAGCCAGTTACATGTTCACCGTGTTAACCTGACGCTCTTACCCTGTACAACCCACTGAATGGGACGTCGATGGGCAGGGAGAAAAGGTTTCTGATCATTTCTTCAAATGCTTCCACCAGCTGCTGCTCATCGGTCCGGATCCGCTCCGGGTCAAAACCCAGCAGAATCCTCATGGCTATGCGGAACATCAGCCGCTTCATTTCAGGATACACCAGCACACAGGGGTCTTGGACCAACCAGCTTTTGACTGCAGTATGTACTTCCTCCTGGATGACGGGAATGTAGAGCTCTAGCGCCTCCCTGGAGAAGGCTCTCAGGATGGCCTAAAGCAGCAATTCAGTGGATGAAACTCAACTTCTACATGGGACTCAGTCTAAACACACCGAGGTCATCATTTCAGCAGAAACATCAGATTTCTTTACAATGGCTTATGAGAACCCAATTGAGATTAATATTCTTTGGGAATAAAACTCTTTTTAAAATCTGATTTCAAAAGAAACTGCTAAATTTTGGAAATGCTTCTATAGAAACAAACATGTATATTGTTAAATAAAGTTACTCATTTGAGGGTGATATTGTGTAATAGGTATGGAACTTTGCATGAACTTGACTTTAATGTTTGTGAATTCTAATGACAGGAAAAAGATGTGACTCGCTCTGGATACTGGAAAGTTTCAAACTCACTTTCTTCTTGGTCTTGTGCTGGGAGCCGTGCATGTTGGAAAGCGTGTCCATGCCCAGGATGGTGCGGACGGAGGAGGGCCACTGTGCAGACACCAGCCTGTGCTCCCCTAGCAGGATGTGCCTGATGTTCTCCGCTCCGCTCACACGCACCGTGGGGTTCCCGAAGAGGTGAGTGCGGTAGATGTAACCGTACTTCTCTCGCTTCATCCTCAAAAACTTTCTCCTCTACAACCACAGGAACACGACAGGCTCAGTGAGAAAACTGGAGAAACAAAACTTAATTGTTTTAAGTTTTGTGGTGGATTTCCTCATCAGAAAGTAAAACAAAACAACAACATGGTTATTGGTTTTCTTCTTAAAATACTAAATATTACCTTGAAATGTATGCAAATTTATTTTGGTCTAAAACTCGTTAAGATTTTTGGATCAAAAATATATATTTTTATTTTTTATTTTACAGTTTTTATGGTTCAAGATATTTTTAAAGTATTGAGCACCGGGTCATTTTGAATTATGCTACATTTATAGTGTTTGGTAAAAAGCTGACTCTCCTCACTGTAACCAGAGCAACATAGTAGCAAATAAAGTTGATTAAAAAACAACAACACAAAAAACAAATTGTTTTTCATTCGTTTTTCATTCTTTATCATATGAAAAAGAACAATTTTCGATTTTTCATATTTCTAAACAGTCACTGTATACATCATAAAAACTATAAACAAGCTTAATTTTAAAATCAACACACATCCAAAACATTAATGTTTTGATTATATTGTATAATATAATAAATCACACCATGCAGGGCAGAAAGGATTAAGAGGGAAGTCTGCAACATTAACCAAGCTGGTTATGGAAACTATTTAAAAAAAAAAAAAAAGAAAAGAAAAAGAAAACCCGTACGTGTCCCAGTTTTTATCTCCCTCTCTATGTGCGGACACCGAGGTCCAGCAGGTGCGCTGTCCTCATGCCGGCTGCACTGAGCCTACCTGCAGGACGAGCTGCAGCGTCTCTCCGATGAACGGTAAGCCCATGGAGCCGGGCGGCAGCGGGCTCGGGCATCTCGGGTCTCCGCCGCGTATCATGTAAATCTCCCACAGCTTGACCGCCACCAGGAAAAGCAGGACGGGCAGCACGAGAGTGCACAGGAAGGAGGCCAGCAGTGTGCTCAGAGCCATGTCGGTTCGGTTCGGTCTGTCCGCCCAGGTGAAGCGGCATCAACATGTGAGGCTGGCCGCTCCTCCTGCCGCCCTTTATAGGCCTCGCCTCACCTTCTCCTCCCTCACATGAATTAGTTCACTCAAAGTTCATCTTTAATTGTGGCAGTGGCTCGGCCCCGCCTACAGTCTGTATTGGCTGATATCGTTTGTTTCAAGGGCCACATTTTTAATCCTAATGCACGCAGGACATTCCGCGGTGGATTTCACTGAGAAATATTCCTTGTGACAATGGAAGCGCGTCTCTTTTGTTGGCCGTGAAAGCAGCTAGTTTACAAACTCATTACCTTAGCTGAAGAGCCACTTGTAGGACCAACGGTCATGCCTGCAGGCTGAACAACATTCAGGAGCAGAAAGGTGTTAAGAAGCACATTCACAAGCTTCTTACCAAATGAAAATGAGGCTCTAATCCCTCTCAACAGGGTCTCTGTGACTCAGACTGCATTTGTAAATAATTAGTCTTTGTGGGTTTTTTTGGAAGCTTTTTTCAGAGTGCAGGCTGAGCTATCTTTGTATCTTACTGAGACATTGACCCACAGATTATCAAGCAAGTTCTCATGAATGAATAGGGAAATGATAGTGTGTCACTGGAAAGAACCGCTGTCCTCTACTTGACTCTGTACCTCTATCAAACTGAACGTCATTGAAATGTGGAAGGAGACGTTAAACTGCTCGTTCTCTCTCTGTTTCTCTTTCTCTCTCTCTGTTTGTGTGTGTGTGTGTGTTATAAAAATGGTATCTCTGTGAGTTCAAACTTGGGTCAACACCGACAGGCGGAGGGGATGCCCATATCCACACAAGTAATGTTGAGCCCAGAATTCTCTAAAACCTGCTAAAAGTCAACATTGCTCTAAAAAAGATTTCTTGTTTTTGCTTTTTTTGTTGTTGCTAAACTTCTACATCTTTGATCATCAAACATTTTTTGTTGTATTGCAAAGATAACCTGAGTAAACGGAAATGTAGTTTATGTATGGCCCTTATGTGAAAAACTATGTCAGTGACATGTATCAGTCTGGAGTCATTTGGAACAGCAGAAAATCACAGAGAGAAATGGTGTTGATGAATGTGGATCAGTGGAAAACCTTCCCAGGAGTGTCTGGTCCACCAACATGACTCCAAGAGCTCATCAGAGACTCATCCAAGCACTAACTAAAGCACCTAGAACAACAGATTTTTTTGACTTAATAAAATCATCCATCCATCCATCTATTTTCTTCCACTTATCCGGGGTCGGATCACTGGGGTAGCAGCTTAAGAAGGGAGGCACAGACTTCCCTCTCCCCAGCCACTTGTTCCAGCTCCTCCGGGGGATACATTTATATTAAATTTGTATTAATTTAATTTATTAATAGGGCTGCACAGTTGTCACAGTTGGTAGCACTGTTGCCTTGCAGTAAGAAGGTTCTGGGTTCGATTCCCAGCCCGGGGTCTTTCTGCATGGAGTTAGCATGTTCTCCCTGTGCATGCTAGGTTCTCTCCGGGTACTCCGGCTTCCTCCCACAGTCCAAAAACATGACTGTCAGGTTAAATGGTCTATCTATATTCTCCTTAGGTGTGTGAGTGTGTGTGTGCATGGTTGTTTGTCCTCTGTGTTGCCCTGTGATGGACTGGTGACCTGTCCAGGATGACCTGTCCAGGGTGACCCCACCTCTCGCCCGTTGACCTCTGGAGGTAGGCACCAACACCTTTCATGATCCCTTTAGGAATAAGGGCATAAGATAAAGAATGGATGAATTTATAAATGTAAATAGATACATTTATACATCAAATACAAATTCATATTTATATTAAATGTATATTAATATGTGTATATAAATTTTTATTAATCTGACATAAATTTCTACAAAAACATTGTTCCGTGGAACAGTATTTTTGTGCAACAAAAATAAAGCTGAAGAAATCAGCTTCATTTAGTATTTTACGTCACTTCAGTAAAGTCTCCTCATCCTCCTGTGCATTTCTAACTACTGAATAAAAACATAAATGCAACACGTTTGTTCCTGTTCTGAGCCGACTTGTTGAGCTGTGACAACACTGTACAAATCTGTACTTGTTTGAATTTTTGTTTTGGTAATAGTTTGAGTGAAGGAAGAATTAAGACTTAAGAGTTTGGGATTGGCAATAAATCATTTTACTTGCACAGAGAATGACAACATTGTGTGACATTTTAAAAAATGAATCAGAATTTTTGCTCAGTCTATGAAAAGTTAGACAAATCAAGTTTATGAAAGTGTTCCTCTCCACAGCCTTCACGTCCCTCATTTTTTAGACTTCTAAAAAGTATCCAGGACAGACATAAAGTATGTAGATGTTTTTTTTTTTAATATTGGTCAAATGATTAGATACTAATCATCTAATCATAATTAGATTACATACTAATCAAATGATTAGATACTAATCATTTGAGTTCTCACCAAACAATTGAACACAACTGATCCTCTAAAATGTGAAAAATGGTGCAGCTCTCTACCAGCTGCTGCTCTTAATACTTGATAAGTTTGCATAGACATTTGTTATCAATGTGTTTGCTATCTCTGGACACACCTAACCTTATGGCCAAAACATGCAGCAAAATAAAACACACAAACACACACACAGGAGCACACTGCTCAGTCAGCACTAGTGTCAAACGGCCACTGTCCATTTGTGCATGTTTATATCACTCCACCCCCAGCTCGCACGCTGGCTGACCCACTGGTGACCCTGACATCTCGATGAACTCTTCTGTGCAACCAAGTTCACTGTTCATCAAACAGGGAGAGAGAACTGGGCAGCTGGTTGCGGCCATGTTCCACCTTGCCAATGTGGAAGAACGAGAGAGAGACGACCTGACAGTAGCTACATCATGTTCAAATGTTGATTCAAGCACTCACTAAATACTTTTATCAGCCCAACATGATCAGTTTTATGCATTAATAATTAATCCATGTAATCCATGCATAATGTTGGACACATTCTACAGATTTGTCATTTAATCAGGCAGTGCTTTTTTATACAACATCAGAAATGCATTAAGGAATGCAAATAAACAAATAATTTAATTCATTTTTAATTAAGAAATAAACTTTTTTTTGTGTGTAAAAAGCAATACCACAGCATTCCTTAGTAAATCGGAACCTGGTAAAGCTAAAAGCATGCCACTTGAGAAGTTTTGGCTAAAACATATTTACAGACAGAGGTGTAAATATGTTAATTACTACTCTGAATAGTAGTAATTAAGTACAAAAGGGTCAATTCAGCAAATAGCATTTTTTGAGGCTGAATACTTTAATACAATCAAAGGTGCAGTATGTAACTTTTATTAAAAAAAATAATTTTACATGTAAACTGTCACCTTGTCTTGACAGTTTGCTATAATCTGTGAAAAGATCCACCTCCTCCCAGAGCTGCTGGTACCGTCTGAAGAATGCACTGTTCTGACCAGAAACAACCAATCAGAGCCAGGAGGGGGGTCTTAGCGCTGTTGATCAATCTCATGTACTTGCTGCTAAATGTGCTACTGCGGGAGAAACAACTTACTATTACCATTTATCTGCCATCATTGGTAGCTACGCTAACTAGTCTGAGCATTCATGACAGGCTGTGCCAGCTGAGGCATAGAGAGGAAGACGGCGAGAGAGCAGCTCCATATGAAGAAGTGATTGACAGCGCTAAGACCCTCCTCCTGCCTCTGGTTGGTTGTCTCTAGTTAGCATTGGGAGAAAGAAGAGGAACTCAACTTTTCTCTCAGATTATCTGAACATGATGACAGTTTCAACAAACGTGAAAAAATATTTTTTATAGAAGTTACATACTGCAGCTTTAATGATTAATCAATTACTAAACTAGTTGATGATTATAACAATAATCAATTAATTACAAATTAATCTGATTCATTATTTCAGCCCTAGTGGTGAAAGTGATGCATCTGACTGGGGGTCAGTTTCAAGTTTAAGATGTTTAATATGTTTATCATAACATCTCAATGATCAGAGGAAAACCTCAAATGTCCGCAGATGGTCATCATCGTGAGTCAGTCTCACGATGATGACCAGCAGCTTGAGCTTCCTGTGTTACTGCAGAGCAGCAGGAGGAGGTGGGTGGTTGGACGTGTTTGCTGCCTGTATTTTACTATAGAGATCAAACACTTTAACAAGGCAATAAACGGCTTTAACAGCTATTGCAACAATGCAGCAGGCAGACCCTGGTCCCACCACTGACCAGGCACTATTCACAGACACAGCACTTGGTGATAGTCACACCTTTATTCCATCTTGCCATTCACTGTGTAGGATCACAGTGAGTGTGTTCTTACACATTGAGGGCAATTCTTGCTGTGTTTTTGTGATGGGAGGAGCCAACCTGCAGCAAATGTCACTCTACGAACAAACTACTGTTTCATGTGAATGGAAAATGTGAAGATTGTTGTGTTGCCCCAGAGACTCAACTTTTTTTCCTCGTTACAAAAATATTTAGTGTAATTTTAAGCAGCACCTTATTGAGTCTCGTGGTTTCTTTTTATATATTCTGGTTTAAGGGGCTGTTCCTTTGTGATAGTGAGAGGTTACAGCCTATAGCAGGACAAACCCACTACTCTTTCTCACTCTGCTACTTTCTTGGTTGTTTAAAATTTACTTTTTATTTTTTTGTTTGCTCAGTCTTCTCAAATCCTCAGTGGGTCACTTCAGATGGTGCTCAGGTTATTTAGAGTGCATGTAGCATTTTCACAAAAAAAACCAAAATCAAATTCTTCTGGACGTTTCTTCCTGTTAAAGGGGAGTTTTCCTTTCCACTGTCGCTACATGCATGTTCAGCAGGAGGGGGAGGGATTGTTGCAAAGTAATCTGCTGAATTTCCTTTGTCTTTTTATCAGTTGGAATAATAAACTGAACTTTTAATCCAAATCCTGATGATCAGTCTGCAATGGATGGAATGCAAGTTTGTGACTCTGCTCTGTGTGTTGTAAAAGGACAAACAAGGCATGCGTGATTTCAATCCAAACTTTTTACGACAAATATGGAAAGAAAGAAATATGTTTTTTTCCAAACTTCTTTCATAAAACAAATTCTTGATGAACCTTCTGAAATCAGCTGA